CATCCTCCTGGATCCCCCTCCGTCACCCTCCTCCTCCTCCTCCTGAATCCTCCTCCTCCTCCTCCTCATCCTCCTCCTTGATCAGCACCATTGATCCTCATCATTGACCCTCCTCATGTATCATCCTCCTTGATCCTCCTCCTCCTGCTCGTCCTCCTCCTCCTCCTCGAGCCTCTTCGAGCCTCATCGATTCTCGCTTTCCATGAGAGGCTGCCCTTGTCGTGGTGGTGACTCCCCCCCTGTGGTGATGAACCCCCCCTGGCTCTGCCCGACGCCTCCAGAATCGCCAGGTGCTCGTGCGGGTCGCCTGGGGCCGCGGCGCGCTTCACGCTGGTCCCAGCGCCTCGGAGGGGCGGGCGGTGGCGAGGCTGCGGGAAGCGAGGACACAAGTTGGCGGCGCGCAGAGGGGGGTAGTGAGAGGGGGAAAGGCTTCTTGGAAGCGCCCCTGCTCCTTAGAAAGCGCCAGCCCTGCATCTATAGACAAGGCCCGCGCCTTCTAAGAAGCAGGGGTGTTTCTAAAAAGCCTTCCCCCCTCCCCCTACCTCCCTCCGCTCGCCGCCGACAGAACGAGAAAGACGGCACAACCACAAACTTCCGCAAGCCCTGCGCGGCTCCCAGAAAGCCGCGAGGGCAGGGGAAGAAGCAGCGTGAGCATTAGAGCTCGGAGGTCCGAGCGGATTACTTGGATTGACGATGAATCCCCCCTGGCGGCGCCTCCAGCGGCCGCCAGGGGGGGCCAGCGGGATGCGCCGCAGGCCACTGAATCCGCGGCCTCCCTGCCAAAGGGGTGGTGGCCACAGGGTTGTCTGCACTCGACCACGCCCCGTGGCGCTTGCACTGGCCAGCTTCGATGAACTGCAGCTGCCGATGCAATCGGGAGTGGCGAAGAAGGCTGCGCACCAGGAAGGAGTGTTGGCCGCAAGGGGGGGGGGTCGGTGTGACGCAGGAGGCACCTGTACACCACCACCGTGGCCTGGGCAGTGCCGCCCTGGGCCCCAGCTGGCGTGGTGCAAGCTACTGCCACAAGGGACGGTAAAGCAAGATCGATGTGCTGTTTGGACCCGAGGAGCGCTGGAGAAGCTAACGTCGAGGCATCCGAGGAACAGCGCGCCCCTGCCGAGCCCCCAGAGGCACAGCCGCGGGAGGACCCGAGGAGCAGCGAGGCCCTGCCGAACCCCTCGAGGCACAGCCGTGGAAGGACCCGAGGAAGAGCGAGCCCCTGGTGAGCGCTGTTGTTTAATTCGGCGTTTCGACGTTGGGCGGAAGGGGGGGGAGGGAGGGGGGGGTCTGGCTCTGGACCTCTGCTTACTGCCACCGTCTGCAGCAGTGCGGCCTCTGGGGGGGACTCCACCCGCTCGGAGCAGGCGCCAAGAAACAGCCACGATCTACTCCATGGGGAGGGGAGGGGGGGGGGGAGAGTTTGGGGCCCGCGCCGAGCGGCAAAACAATGAGTAAAACAAGCCCCTGCCGAACCCGAGCTGCTCCCTGACTCCGCGTCTTGCCTGCCCGCCCTCCCAGCCTCGGCGCTAGGCAGGCCCGCACACTCCGCCCCTGGCGCCCCGGAGGGCCCTCCCCAGGCCACGGCGGTGGCGGTGCAGAGATGCCCTGTGCGCACCAGTCCCGGGGAGGAGGAGGAGGAGGAGGAGGAGGAGGAGGAGGAGGAGGAGGAGAAGGAGCGGGAGAAGGAGGAGGAGGAGGAGGAGGAGGAGAAGGAGGAGGAGGAGGAGGAGGAGGAGAAGGAGGGGGAGGAGGAGAAGGAGCAAGAGGAGGAGGGGCCCGTCCCCTTCTGAGGAGGCCCTGGGCTTCGCCAAGGCCAGCCGCCAGCCCTCGCCCAGGCCAGCCGCCACCCCTCGCAGCAGCGGCGGCGGCTGCACCACTGCAGGGGCAGGAGCGGGAGCGGCCACGGCAGCACGAGCGCCTGCGGCGCGGCCTCACCCGAGCCCACCTCGGGCAACAGGCCACGACCGGACTCGATGTGAGGGAGGGGGGGCAGGACGGCGAGGCTGGAGAGAGCCGATGCGCCACGAGCAGGACTTGATGCGGCGGGCCGCAGCAGAACTCGGCGGGACGGGACGGGTGGGCAGACGAGCAGGGAAGGCCCTGGCCACTGCGAGCCCGAGGATCCCGCCGCTGCCAGCTCCCCAGCCCGTCCCCACGACCGCAGTGGCGCGGCGCGGCGGTGGCGAGAAGCGCAGGCCGAGATGGCAGGACCATGGACGGCAACGGACGTGGCAGTGGGTGGCGGCGACGGCTGAAAGCTGCTGGTTGTGGAGGCGGCTGTGGGTGGTAAGAGGAGGAGGAGGAGGAGGAGGAGGAGGAGGAGGAGGAGGAGGAGGAGGAGGAGGAGGAGGAGGAGGAAGAGGAGCAGGAGGAGGAGGAGGAGGAGGAGGAGGTCACGGGCAGCGGCGCGCGCGGTCGGCCCCCTGGCGCGCTGGCGTGGTGCGGGCGCTCCCGGGCGCGCTCGGGGCTTGGCGCGTGGCCTTCCACGAGGCTCTGGACACCTCGCTGGAACTCCACACCCCCAGATCGCCCTTCGACGCTCCCCAGAGCCCGCGCTGATGGCCTCGAAGGCCTGTCCAAGGACAGGAAAAATATGTTGAACAGCCACTTCGTCACTTCCTGAATTAGATATGATCGCCCTACGGCTTTAAAAGCGTCCATGGCGGCCCAAGAGGCTCCCAAGACCCAAAGCTGCTCCCTGGGGGGCCCAAAAGTGGGAACTCAAAGGGGCCCCAAGAGTTCTCCCCATCAAGATGGCCCCGAGACAGTCACTTGTCTCCCAAGAGGCTCCCAAGAGGCCCCTAGAAGGCCTCCAAGATATCCCAAAGAGCCCAGCAGAGGCCACAAAGAGGCCACCAGGAGACCCCAAGAAGCCTCGAAGAGGCGGGATGAGCCGAAGGCCACTAAATCTGCGGCCCCCTCTGTCTACCGAGAGGATGTTGGCGAGCGGAGTGCCCTTCGAAATGTTCCCAGTGGCCTCTGGCCAGCCCCGCCGGCACCAGATCCCGTGGACCCTTCCGCAGAACATGGCTCCAAGAGGGCCTCCAGAACGGCCAAGATGGCCCAAGACGGCCTCCAATACGGCCCACGACGCCTCCAGGACGGCCACGACGACCCCAAGATGGCCCAAGATGGCCCGAAGATGCCTCCAAGACGGCACCAGATGGCCACAAGACGCTCAATATGGCATCAAGAGGGCCCAATGGGCCCCAAAACGCCCCAAGGGGGATCCAGGAGAGGACCTCCAGGAGGGCTTCAAGACGCCACAGCCATCAATTTGTCTTTAGCTGATTGGAAATGTTCGCGTTCTCGCGTTCTCGGGCTTCCGACAGCCCAAGACGGCCCCGGAGGCCTGAAAGATAGCCCCAAGACGGTGCACGAAACTCCCAAGAGAGCCGCAAGACAAGCCCAGAGGGCCCCAAGACGGCCCAAGAGGCCCCCAAGATGGGCCCGAGAAAGAGAAGGCCCCAAGACTGCACCAGAGGCTTCCAAGACGGCCCCGAAGCGCTCCAAGAGGTCCAGCTAGGCCTCCAAAATGGCGCCCGCAGGCGTCAGACGGGCCAAGCGAGTCCTCAGACGGCCTCGCAGAGGCCACTCCAGAAGAGCCCCCAAGAAACCCCCAGGAGGCTCCACGGAGGCCCCGGCATGGCCCAAGTCGGGCCCAGGACAGCCCACGAGGGTCCCAGCATGGCCCAAGAGGCCCAACGAGGTCCCAAAGACAGCCCCAGGAGACCCACTTGGCGGCCGAGGGGAGCCCAAGACGGGCCAAGACAGCACCAAGACGGCCCAAGAGAGCCCCAAGACGGCTCGAGAGAGTCTCAAGAAGACCCCATGAGGGCCCCACATGAGCCCAAGACGACTCAGGTGGCCTCCTTGAGCCCCTCAAGAATCCGCTACCGTGCCCTTGGGCACGGAGTGGGCGTGCCCTCAGGTCCTCCCCCTACCCCCCATAAGCCTCAGGCCTCACTCCTGAGGAGTCTTTAAAGGATTCGAAGCCCTTCGGCCCAAATCTCCTGGAGCTTCTTGCGGTTCCCCTGGGTTCAAGGAAGTGGTGTCGAATGCTCTGTTCGGGCCCAAGACGGCCTCCAGAAGGGCCAAGAAGGCCCGAAGAGGCCCTCAAGATGGTCCAAGATGGCCCCGAGACGCCCAATCATCGCCCCAAGACATCCAAGATGGCCCCAAGACGGCCCAAGCGGCCGCCAAGGCGCCCCAAGAGGCCCCCAAAAAGCCGCCCAAGAGATCCACGAGAGGCAAGAATTATTGATTTCTCTCAGGTGTTTGAAGGATTGTGGCCGTCTCGCCTTTTCGGCTTCTCGACGCTCTAAGACGGCCCATGAGGCCCCCAAGACCGCCCCAAGTCGGCCCAAGAGGCCCTCAAGAGGGCCCTAAGACGGCCCAAGAGGGCCCCGAGACGGCCCGAGAGGCTCCCAAGACGGCCCAAGAGGGCCCCAAGACGGCCCGACGAGGGGCCCACGAGGGGAACCACGAACCGAAAATCCAAGTCTTCCGCCACAAGAGGCCCCTAGGAGGCCCCCCCAGAGGCGCCCAGGAGGCCACAGGAGGCCCCAAGAGGCCCCCAGGAGGCCCCAAAAGGGCCCCCAAGAGGCCTCCAAACTGCATCCAAGAGACCCCCGAAAGACCTCCCACGAGATCCCAACGAACGTCCGTCCACCCCCATACCCACAACCCAGGCACGGTGGCGGGATGGGCCGAAGGCCATTAGGTCCGCCGCCCCCTGTCGATTCATCACAGGGGTGCCTAGCGTGCTAGACCATCTCGGTTTTGGTTTTGGTGCTTTTCCGAAAGAACTCCCCTTGGGGCTTCGGCCCGTCCCGCCGGGGCCCCCGCAAGACCCATAGGACGCCCAAGCCATCGCCCAATTCCCAAATGTTCCTCCAAGACGGCTGAAGATGGCCTCCAAGATGGCCACGTTGGCCCAAGATGGCCCCCAGGCTGGTCCAAGATGGCCCCCAAGTCCGCCCAAGAGAGGAGGAGATGCCTCCAAGTCCGCCCAAGAAACCTCCAAGACGGCACAAGACGGCCAAAAGGCCTCCAAGACGGCCCAAGAGGCCTCCAAGAGGGCCTCCAGGAGGGCCCGAAGAGACCAAAATCATTGATGTTCTATGTTGTTTAAAGGTTTTTCGTATTTGCGCCGTTTCGGCTTTCCGACGACTCAAGACGGCCCAAGAGGGCCCAAAGATCGCCCCCACAGCGCCCAAGAGGCCTCCAAGATGGCCTCAGGACTGCCCAAGAGGCCCCCAAGACGGCCTCAAGAGGGCACAAAGACGACCCAAGAGGCCTCCAAGACGCCCAAGATGGCCTCTAAGACCGCCCTGGAGCACCCCAAGAGGGCCCCGAGTCGGCCCAGAGAGGCCACCCAAACTGCTTCCGACGGCGTCAGACGGGCCAGGAGCCCACCAAGATGGCCGAAGTTGGCTCGAAGCTGGCCCAAGACGGCCCAAGAGGCCTCCAAGAGGGCCTCCAGGAAGGCCAGAAAAGGCCAAAAACCTGGATGTCCCATGGGTGTTTGAAGGATTTTGACATTTGCTTCTTTTCGGCCATCCGAAGGCCCGATACGGCCCAAGAGCCCCCAAAGATCGCCCAAAGATCGCCCAAGGGGCCTCCAAGATGGCCCCAGAACGGCCCAAGAGGCCCCCAAGACGGCCCCAAGAGGCCCCCAAGACGGGCCAGGAGGCTTTTAAGACGCCCAAGATGGCCTCCAAGACGGCCCTGGAGCATTCCAAGGGGGCCCAAGTCGGCCCAGAGGGACCCCCCGAACAGCTTCCGACGGCGTCGGACGTGCCAGGAGCCCACCAACAGCCGAAGATGGCCCTAAGATGGCCCAAGACGGCCCACGAGGTTTCCAAGAGGGCCTCCAGGAAGGGCCGAAAAGGCCAAAATCCGCCGATCCTGCATGTGGGTTTAAGAGATCTAAGCTGAAGCTCTGCTTCAGCATGAGCTTTGGCTCTGCCTGGGAGGGGGGGGAGGGGGGAGGGGGGGAGGGGGGCGTACGTAATTAAATGACGGATTAAAAGTGGTCGGCAATCTCCCCATATCAGAGATCCAGAAGGAGAAGGGAGAGGGGGGGGGCCAGGAGAGCGGACGAGGGAGAGGGGGGGGGTACAGGAGAGAGAGGGTGGGGACAGGCGAGAGGAGGGGTGGGGGAAAAGGAGAGAGGGGGGGTTTGACAGGAGAGAAGGGGGGGGGGGGGGGAACAGGAGAGAGGGGGGGGGGGGAACCAGAGAGAGGGGGGGGGGGGGGAAAGAGGGGGGGGGACAGGAGAGAGGGGGGGGGGACAGGAGAGAGGTGTGGGGGGGAACGGAGAGAGGGGGGGGGGACAGGAGAGATGGGGGGGACAGCGGAGGAAGGGGGAGGGGAGGGACAGGAGAGAGGGGGGGGGATGGGGGGGACAGGAGAGAGGGGGGACCGGAGGGAGGGGGGGGAGGGAAAGGAGGAGGGGGGGGAATGAGAGAGAAAGAGGGGGACAGGAGAGAGGAGGGGAGGTGGGGGGGGGAGGGATCAAAATTTTCACCATTCTCCATCACCAGAACGATCTACAATCGTTCACATCCACCCTCATATCGTCATCATCATCATAATCATCATCATCATCATCATCAGCATCATATCAATCATCATCATCATCACATCAGCATCAGCATCGCAACAGCATTCAGCTCATCATCATAATCATCATTCATCATCATCATCAATATCATATCATCATCATCAGCATCATCATCATCATCATCATCATCATCATCATCATCATCATCATCATCATCATCATCATCATCATTATCAGCATCATCATCATCATCATCATCATCATCATCATCCAGAGCGCCCCGGATCGCCGGCACTGGCTGGAGGCCACTGCAATCCTTGATTTCCCATGAGTTTTTGAAGGATTGTAGCATTTGCTGTTGTTTCGGCCTCCCGACGGCCCGAGATGGCCCAAGTGCCCCCAAGTTCGCCCAAGAGGCCCAAGACGGCCCCAAGAGGCCCCCAAGACGGCCCAAGCGGCATCCAAGACGCTCAAGATGGCCTCCAAGACGGCCCAAGAGCCCTCCAAGACGGCCCGAAAGGGTCGACATGGCCTCCAGACGGCCAAGATGACCTTCAAGATGCCCACGTGTTCCCCGAAGGCTTTCCAAACCGATTCAGGGAACACATGGTCCGATAGCTTGACAGGTCTGGCCTCAACGTTCGGCCACACAGGCGCTTCCAAAAAGGCAGGGGGCGGCGGTGATTCGCCGTAAGCGTCTTCGATAGAGACGAGAGGGGACCTCCCACGTGTTAAACGTTACGGCCTTCTGGAAGGTATCCGAAGCGTCGAGACACAGAGTGCTGCGCTGGCACGGTGGCGGGACTTGCCACGGGCAGCTGGATATTTGTAACAATCCCAGCGTTCCAGCTCAGGGCAGTGGCTTCAAGACTCTAAACGGCCACGAGACCCCAAAGGACGCCCGGAAGGCCCCGAGATGGCCCTCAGAAGAGCCCCAAAGGTCTCCAGCTGGCCTACCGAATGGTCCCAGTAGGGCGCTCTGGCCAATGGCATTATCACATAAACGCTGTCATGGGTCGGCGGAGTGGCATCATCCTCTAGAACCAGCTGGTGTAGAATATGCAAGAGTCCCCCGACATCCCTTCTATACATTGGCGCCCCCCTTCCAATCTTATTAACGGTCATCCACTCCTCCACTCCAGCCCGATTTGTTCTTCTCCCAGGCTTCTTGCCCGCCCAACTACAAACTGCCTCCTCTTCTTCCTGGCTCGATCCTCCTCTTTCCCGACACTTGGCGCGGCACCCTTTAAGTGCGCGCGCAGGGAGAGGTCGATCCAGCTGGCGTAGAGCCGGGTCAACATGCAAAGGCGGTCCTGGGACGAGGGTGGGGAAGAGATGACAGGAGAACTCAGGTGGGACGAAGAGGAGGGCAGGGCCTACAAGTGTGTCCTGGGAGTCCTTGGAAGCACTTGGAAGTACATGGACATGTACGCACATACTTGGAAATACGTGGAAATCTATGATGTGCCCGATTCCTGCTAGTTCTGACTGAGCAAAGAAGGATGGCAAGGGAGAGTGGTCGCACTGCCATACTGTCGAGTTGACGGACAGGAGAGGGCAGGGGAAGAAGCTGCACGAGGGAACCCATCGCAGGGCGGTGGCAACAGAAACGCCGATGGCACAGGACGCAGCCTTCCCCCGTGCTGCCGAGATCAACAGACTGGCCCAGCCTTCGGTCAGCGCGCTCCTGCCCCCCTGTCAGGATGGAGAAAAGAAGGTGGGGGCCGCCGAGAGCAGCTGGGGCCGCAGCGTCGCGCCGCACCGCCGACGCACCGGCGACTTCGGGATGGAGAAGATCGTGCCGCAGTCCGCGCCGGCATCGTCGATGCGGCGACGACGCGGGGCGAACCTCTGGCACCATCTGCTCTGGCCCCAGGTGGGCGGCTTCGAGAAGATGAAGGGAATGGGAGGGCGCGACGGGAACAGGGCAAGGCGTCTGCGCCGTGGCTCTGGCACGGAAGAGGCGGGTCCTGAGGGAAACGAGTCGTGGACCCCAGGGGCTTTTCCTGGGACCAGCTCTTCGTCCTGCGTCGTTTCCTGAGTCCCGAGGCCCGTGGAGGTCCCGAGGAGGCCAAGAGAAGCAGCGAAGAACCTGAGGACCCGCTTCATGGCCAGCTCCTGGGGGGCGACGCGCTCCGACCGGGTCCTGCATCAGGCGCGGCAGCGGCTGCAGGATCAGGGTCGCAGCCTGGGACGCGAGGGCGGATCTCACCCCGCGGCCCGCGGGGGTCTCCCCCGGCTCCCCGCGCACGTGGGTGGCGACGGCGAAGGGAGGTCTCGCGCGGGGGCACGGCGACCTTACGCAGTGGCCTGCGGCAGGCTCGTGTCGTGACGACTTCCGCGCCGGCTCGTGGCGCCGCGCGGGTCGTTCAACCGTGAGCGGTCGCGGCTGTCCGATGTCGCAGACCGTTCGATAACGGTCGCCTTCTTGGCCCCAGGCGGCGCTCAACCTCGAACCTCCGCCCTGGGGTCGCCACCGCGTCGTCGCGGCACGAAGCTGCTCACGTAGGCACCGCTTCTACGGCACGCCACCGTGGACGATCAAGGCGTTCACGTGCGGCCCTATTCGAGCAGCACACGGCGACCTTACGCGGTGGCTTGCGCAGGCAGGCCTGCCCCACGGCACACCTCTGCGGAGCAGAGGGCGCTCTCGTGCGACCCTGCTCGCGCAGCGTGCGCGCGGATGCCCTCAGCCGTTTTTGTCTTAGTCGCTCTCCTGGCGAGCACCCTGGAGCAGGTGGCCCCGACCCGTTCCTCCATGGTTAGGGTCTGGCCACAGGGCTCCCAGCAGTCCAGAGGTGGCTTCGCTCCGAGACGTGAGGAGACGGGGCGGCTCCTCGTCCTCCTCCTCCTCCTCCTCCTCCGCCTCCTCCTCCTCCGCCTCCTCCTCCTCCTCCTGCTCCTGCTCCTCCTCGGCACCGGTGGGAGGGGGAAGAGGATGAGGAAGGGGAAGAGACATAGAGAGATCTAGAGAAGGGCGGGAAGAGATGCACACTCTCGACTTTCGGAGCAATGGCAACATCAAACCTTGTATCTGACATGTGTAAGAGAGAAACATTAGTTGCCGCTTCCAGTCGAGGAGCGCGTGGCTAGGCGGCTCGCCTCCTCCTCCTCCTGCGACGACGACGACGACGACGACAACGACGGCCACCACCACCACGACCACCACGACCGCCACCACTACGACGACGACGACGACGACGACGACGACCACGACGACGACCACGACCACGACGAGTGGCCGCCTCGCCCTCCTCGTCGAAGAGCGCGTGGCTGGGCGGCCGGAGCGAAGGCGGGTCGAAGGAGACGCACGCGGACACCTCGCACACCCGTTGGTCGCTCGCTGCGCCCTCCCCCTCCTGCTGCTGCTGCTCCTGCTCCCATCCACCTACTCCGCCCCTTTTTTTGTTCCCCAACCATCCTGTGGTGTTGGGTCCTCGTTTTGAAGAGACGGTCCCCACGTCCTCCTCTCCTCTCCTCTCCTCCTCTCCTCTCCTCCTCTCCTCCTCTCCTCTTCACCCACCCAGTACACCGTTTCGTGGCCCCATAGGGAGCTCCGCCGAAGGCCCCAGTGCTGCCGCCCGCATGCGTCACCCACACCCAATTCGGCAAACCCCTCACACGTTTCGTGGCCCCATAGGGTGCCCCACCGAAGGCCCCAGTGCTGCCGCCCGCATGCGTCCCGCACACCCAATTCGGCACACCCCTCACACGTTTCGTAGCCCCATAGGGAGCCCCACCGAAGGCCCCAGTGCTGCCGCCCGCATGCGCCCCGCACGCCCAATTCGGCACACCGCTCACACGTTTCGTGGCCCCATAGGGAGCCCCGCCGAAGGCCCCAGTGCTGCCGCCCGCATGCGTCGTCACCCACACCCAATTCGGCACACCCCTCACACGTTAGGGAGCCCCACCGAAGGCCCCAGTGCTGCCGCCCGCATGCGCCCCGCACGCCCAATTCGGCACACCCCTCACACGTTTCGTGGCCCCATAGGGAGCCCCGCCGAAGGCCCCAGTGCTGCCGCCCGCATGCGTCCCGCACACCCAATTCGGCACACCCCTCACACGTTTCGTGGCCCCATAGGGAGCCCCACCGAAGGCCCCATTGCTGCCGCCCGCATGCGTCCCGCACACCCAATTCGGCACACCCCTCACACGTTTCGTGGCCCCATAGGGAACCCCACAGAAGGCCCCAGTGCTGCCGCCCGCATGCGTCCCGCACACCCAATTCGGCACACCCCTCACGCGTTTCGTGGCCCCATAGGAAGCTCCACCGAAGGCCCCAGTGCTGCCGCCCGCATGCGTCACGCACACCCAATTCGGCACACCCCTCACACGATTCGTGGCCCCATAAGGAGCTCCACCGAAGGCCCCAGTGGCGGCGCTCACATGCGCATGCGTGTCGCACACCCATTTCGGCACATCCCTGACAGGTTTCGTGGCCCCATCATTCACCGGAGGCCCCAGTGGCGGCGGCCACATACGTCACCCACACCCACCCAATTCGGCACACCCCTCACACGCTTCGTGGCCCCATAGGGAGCTCCACCGAAGGCCCCAGCGGCCGCGCTCACATGCGTCCCCGCCACCCATCCCGGCAAGCCCCTCACAACAACAGGTTTCGTGGCCCCATGGGGAGCTCCACCGAAGGCCCCAGTGCTGCCGCCCGCATGCGTCACCACCCGCACCCAATTCGGCACACCCCTCACACGTTTCGTGGCCCCATAGGGAGCTCCACCGAAGGCCCCAGCGGCCGCGCTCACATGCGTCCCCGCCACACATCCCAGTACACCCCTCACGCGCTTCGTGGCCCCATAGGGAGCTCCACCGAAGGCCCCAGTAGCGGCGCTTACATGCGTCTCCGCCACCCATCCCGCCCCCCCCCCCGCAGCAGCATCATGTTTCGGGGACCCATAGGGAGCTCCACTGGAGGCCCCAGTGGCGGCCCGCACATGCGTTTCCGCCACCCATATCGGCACGGCCCGCGCGTGTTTCATGTCCCCTTAGGGAGCTTCGCCGAATGCCCCAGTGGCACCCATCTCGGCACACCCCTCACACGTTCCGTAGTCCTATGGGGAGTTCCATTGAAGATGAAACCCGCAGCTGCGGTACTGACAACTGCATATGGTTGGGTTCTTCGCCAGGCTATTTGTTCTCTCTCTCTCTCTCTCTGTCTTTTTCTCTCTCTCTCTCTTGTTTCTCTCTCTCTCTCTCTCTCTCCCTCTCTCTCTCTGTATATGTATATCTCTCGTGTCGAAAGATCTACAGACATGCATACATACAAATGTGCATACATCCATCAATACATCCATACATCCATCCATCCATCCTTCCATACGTCGTACGTACGTACATACATAAAAACCTACATGTATAGATACAGGCATGCATACATACATGCATATATATCTATATATGCATACGCACATACATACCTACATACATACACACATACATGCATACCGACATACCTGCATACATACATATAAACATGTATGCAGTATACATGCATATATACATACACGCATACATGTATACATACATGCATACGGCATACGTAAAACATTGCATTCATGCGTACATACATACATGCGTGCATGCATATATGCATGCATACATTCATATATACATACATGCATACGTGCATATCTGTCTATATACGCACATGCATATAATAATGCATGCATACATGCATCGCATACATACACTCACACACATAAATATATACGTACATGCATATAGACAAACAAACAAGCAAACCTACATGCATACATACATGCATACATGCATGCATACATACATACATACAAACATACATACATGAATACATGCATATAAACATACATACATACATACATACATACATGCATACATACATACATACATACATACATGCATGCATGCATGCATGCATGCATGCATGCATGCATGCATG